CTGCTCTGAGTGTGAATACTAAATAATGGAGAAAAGTGCCCCCAGCCTTAATACCTGATCTCCTTAATGGCCCTAATGACTCACTGCCTCTCTAAATAGGGGAGTGCAGGTAAGCTGTCCATGGCCAGAAAGGCCCTTCAGAACCAGCCAGGTTAAGGTGACACCAAAAGTGGTTTAAGCTGGTGCACCCCATGTGAGTATCAGGACAAGCCTGGGCCAATTTCTGTAGTAGTTTGTGCTGGAAAAACCCATAATCCGCTTCCCAACAAGCACTGTATTGTGTGTACAGTCCCTCCCTGTTGCAGGCAGATTAAAAATATTACCACTACTGTTAAATGCTCTCACGCTGGGCTTGTAATCATTGGATGTTGGCATCATTTTACAGTGTGGTAAAACACTCTGACTAACATCAACATTTGTCTTCTGTGCTTTCCCCAGAAGGGGAAGTGTGTGCTTGTTCTGTCATTTTTGGGCATGAGAAATATTTTAATATTAATTATACATTATGCATGGGATATAATTACGTATATATTACAGTCATTATGCAGTTGATGTTTTACGTGCGTACTTGTGTTAGGGAAAGCAGGTCGTGGCAATGCGTTTCATGATCCGAGTGGGAGATGAGGTGTTTGACCGTGATGCTCAGCTTGTCCGGGAGCTGGACCCAGGGAAGCTGGAGCAGATTTGCTGTGGGGAGGAAGAGGTGATGGGAAACTGGTGCTACCAGCACGGTTATGGATCTGATCATGAGATGGAGAAATCCATGTTCCCATACGATGCCCCAGCCCTGAGCCCTCTCCTATTCCTGTGTGCCTGTGGGTCTGTGCTTGACTGCACCCAAGGGTGGTTTGGGAGCAGATTAACAACCAGGAGGAAGAGTCACAAAGGAGAAGGGAGCAAGGGATGGCCGAGAAGGTTAAGAGGTGGATAACAGAAATGGGAATAGCTCAGCAGCAGCTCAGGTCTCCCCTTTGATGTCTACTCCCATCGCTCCACAGCGGGCAATGAGACATTTATTCCTGGCTGCGCAGAGATGGGCTGATCCCTGCTTCTGCCCAGAAATATCCCAGTTTGAGCTAAATAGAACTAATTTTCTATTAAGTGATTTTACTTCTCAGTTGAGGACACAGCAGTAGGTGACAACTGAGACATTCCAAGAAACACACAACATTTATCATGTTTTTTTCTGGTCTGGGGAGGGGATTGTTTCACAAGCTAGACCATGATCCCAAATGTTGCACCTTAAGACCTCTGTTTTGCTTGGAGGCTGACAGAGCCTGGATCATGTTGGTTTCTTTATAAATAATTTATATGATGATGCCGCTTGTAAGGTTTAAAAAACAATACTAATGGGAGCAAGTGAGGAAGTAATTGAGAGTATTAGCTGAATACAGAGCAGTATGAATAAGCCTATGGTGGTTTGGGAAGAATGTGAAATGATAGAAATACGAGGGGAACAAAATGTAATTTAACAAAAATGTACTAATTTCAAGAGCAGTCTGAACACTGGTGAGTTATAACAGAAGAGGAGCTGCAGCTGGATTAATAGGGCCATAGTAAAAACTTATGTTTAATATAAACATGACAAATTGTTTTACTTGACACTGTTCTCTTGAAAAGCACAGAATCAATGAAACCAGATTTTCCCAGCACTGCTTCCCTCTTTCTTTTTTTCTTTTTTTTTGTGATATTTTTCATTAAACCTGCCCCAGCGTTCTCAGGAATTATAAGTAGTTTTCATCTTCATGAAACAAAACGTGTAGATTGTTTTCATTCAAACATAGTCTCTTTTTTACCAGCCTGAAGTAACGAGCCATTTTTACTCACCTTTTACCCACAGTGCGGTATCACAGAGAAGCTGTACAGTTTGGCTCAAACATTATATTCTGAAGAAAATATTACAGTTGGCTACAGACTTCAATGCATCCTGAATGAGATTTTATTAAGTGACTGAGATGCATTATTATCTGCTTTGAGAGTTACACAGTGCATGAAAAATGAATTTACTGCGAAATTCAAGCAAGCCCCGTCCCCTTTCCCTGGTGAAACCCTTTTCCCAGGAGGGTTTCTCTTTCCATGAACTGGGGCAGGCTGGAGTCCAAAGCTGCACCGACATTAACGCTGCTCCTCCTATGAGCAATTCCAGGAATGTTTTAGAGGTGCTTGTTGCCATATTTGCATTGGTAATGAAAACGCCTCCTGTATTACAGTGATTTATGGAAGACTGGGCTGGGAATGGTATCTACGGCTTCAGGACAGCGGAGACGATGAGCTGTGATGCTGCTGCACCGCCTGCCCGAGTCTGGATGTCTCGGCGATGAGTGTAGTTCAGGCGCGCGTGGTCCCGCAGCCGACAGCACCTCGTGAGCCCCAGGGCTGGGATCAGTGCTGGCTGCCTCTCATTTTCTGGCCAGTGTTTATGGCCGAGTCATTTTGGGGTAGCCCAAATGGAGAAAGGCTCACATCCACCCCTGCACTCTACAGCAGAGCACTCCTTCACCTCGCCATGGCCACCTCCCATCACGGGCATGTGGCTCTTGGCAGTCATGATCCCCTCTGAGCTGCTCCTTTTTGGCAGGGGGATGATGCAAGGTGAGCATGGACAGCAAAGTCTCGGGTCGTCTGGTCCACAGCCCTGCCCAGCTCAGCCTAGACAAGCATTTGGCAAGGAGTGATCAAACCTGCTCTTGGATCTCTCCTGTCAGCCACCCCCCAGCTCCTCCCAGAAATTTCATTCAGAATTTTTATCCTTATGAACAGGAAGGATAGATTTTCCTAATGTCTGGTCTGAATTTCTTTTGCTCTAATTTAAAACCATTAGTAGGTACACAGAAAACATTGTCTTTTTTCCTCCATCCCACCGCTTTCTTTTCTTCTTCAAGCCAAACAGCTCTGGTGTGCCACTGACATAACTGGACCAGGATTTCCATTGAAGGGCCCAGCTGACCACCCACTGTCTTGGCAGATATTTTAACTTACACTCTTCTTTCTCTTCTTAACCCACAGGTGAGTACAAAATGCCGTGGCCTGTGGTGGGAATGTGTCACAAATGTTTTTGACGGGATCCAAACTTGTGATGAGTATGACTCCATCTACGCCGAGCACCCTGGTATGTAAGACTCAAAGATGTTTCTGCAAGTGGTGGGGACAAAAAGAGCATCTGTTCCACTCAGTGACAGATAATTTGGTGCAGATACATATTAGAGCTGTGTTTCTTTCCTTGGTGAGGTATTACTCCCAGGGGAAGCTGGAGAAAGCTTCACCCCCATTAAAATGCTGGACCTGACCCCCATTACTCACCCACATTTCCAATCCTAGAGCCCTGGAATGATTCACTTTTGTCCTGCAGTGAAGCTGGTGCTGACCCGTGCCATGATGATCACAGCAGATATCCTGGCAGGATTTGGCTTTCTCTTCCTCGTCCTGGGACTGGACTGTGTGAAATTCCTTCCCGATGAGCCACTCATCAAGCTGCGCATCTGCCTGGTGTCTGGAGTCACGCTGCTCATCGCAGGTATTCCTCTGCTGGGCCCCCCTCCTGCAGGACACCCTTTAGCAAAGTGGGGAACTTTTAAAGCCTTTTCTTATTTTAGGGAGAGGAGCTGGTGATTTTTTAGAGGGTCAACAGGGGGGAAGAATATTTATTTGCTTTACATGTGCAATATTGCTTCCTCTGTTCTCTTAACAGCACGTAATTGAATTTATCTGCTTTAATTTCACATATTGACCAGTGACTTAGCTCTGAGGTGGCTGACTTCCATTTGCTGCTGTTTTACTGTGAAGAAGTCAGTGTTGTTGATAAGGCAAAGGGACCTAGAAAGGACTAGAAAGTCCCGGCACTCTGATTCAGTTCCTGGCTCTGCCACAGATTGTGTGACCGTGGGCAAGTCACTTAGCCTTAAATCTCCGAAGCCGATCTCTAATAAAAGGATAATAACACATCTGTCCCTCCTAGGTGATAAATGCCCAACCGACTGTGGTGCTTTGCTGTTACACCCAGTGGGAAAATTTAAAATGCAAAAATAAATAGACCGCCAACTAGGTACCAAGTAATTTCATTTGACTTTATGCCAATATCAAGCATCTACCTCTGCTTCAGCATAAGCAGATTTAACACATAATTCACCTTAGGCACCAGGAGCACATGTAAAACACTTGGAGACACTCTTCTAAACATCCTCCGTTGACCTCCCAAGGTGTGTCCAAAAAACACTGTCAAAGTTCTGAAAGTCAAAAGAGATTGGAAAATTAATTTCTTAAACCAATATTACAACAAACTGATAAACAAGCTGAGAAGGGAGGAGCTTTCTGCCTTTTACTGCAGAAAACTGAGTGCTGTTACCCGACGCTGGTGGTGTCTGTGAGTGCCAAGGCGTGAGGCACAGCCTCTCTCTGACAGTGCTCCTGCTGGTGTCAGTAGGGGCCAGGGTGAACCCAACAAAGTGACCAGGCTGAGACCAAAGAGGGCCCAAAACCTGTCGTCCAAGGAAGATCTTCCCATCCTAAAGTCTGACCCAGCAGGCAGCAGGCAATAGCTCCAGATTTTGTGATCTCCTCATGGTTTACCTATGTGGCACTGTCCCGCAGGTCTCCCAGGCATCACCGGCTCGGTGTGGTACGCTGTCGATGTCTACGTGGAGCGCTCCACTCTGGTCTTCCACAACGTGTTTCTGGGCATCCAGTACAAGTTTGGCTGGTCATGCTGGCTCGGCATGGCGGGGTCGCTTGGCTGTTTCTTATCCGGGGCCCTGCTCACCTGCTGCATGTATCTTTTCAGAGGTGAGAAACTGTGGTAGGGCTGAAACACGCTTCAGAGACCGAGCCTTCGCTCAGGGTGTGCTGCAGGGTGGGGAAAGTCCTTCAGGGACACCCTTTAGAATGGCTGCTCATCCTCACTAGCAATATCTTCAGCTGTAAAATGGGAATAGTGTTATTTCAGCAGCTCTAAAAAGCATATCAAGGTCTTCAGGTGGGAGCTGGAGGTGTGAGTATGAGATGAGATGTGTTAATATGTCATATCTTGGAGCGCTGCTTTCTCTGCATTTCAAGGCTTTGCAGCTGATAGTTGCCAAGCACTTGTTAGCAGATCCCGTTTCTCTCCCTGTGCTTCACAGAGACCAGCTCTGGAAGACTCCACTCTGCTTACTCCTTGAGGAAAGGCTATTCCTCAGCTGGGACAATCGTAACAAACATGCATTTGCCATCCTCACAAACCGCTACTGCCAAAATGTATGCAGTGGACACCAGAGTGTGAGGAGGAGGAGGTAAGCACTCCAAAAAGAGCTCTACTTCTCTTCTAGTGGGTTGCACAGAGACCCAAGCTCCTGTGGTTGCGATACAGATGCAAAGTTAAATTTCAAGGATGTACTGAATGCTACAATGTTTGCATTATGAGAGTTTCAAAACAACCTTCCTTCAGGAAAGTGATCTCTGAGAAGATGATCTTGCTTTAGGGTATCCTGTTCTCTTGAGTGCTGAGTCCAATTGCGTAAGCAGGGACTGAAATAACCAACACAAACTCTTTCAGCATTTGGCTCAACACTATAGGTACGAGTGAGGTAAATCAGACCCCGATGTTCCACATGAAGATCCCCAGATTATCAGATGGATCTGTCCTGTATCTGGCAATGTGTTGACAGACCATCCAAAGCAGAAAATACAGGCAAAGAGAGGGACTGATCGTCTGACCAACATCTGGGCCCTGGCAGCTGGAGAGTTCAGCAGAAGATAAAGAGCTGTGTTAAATACCGGGCCCTCTCTTTGGCCCATGAGCCTCTACACTGAGGAAACACTGCAAATTCAGGTGTATTCTTCCCTGCAAAACACAGTCCTTCTCAGTAAGTGTTAAAATGTACATTACAGATGCTCTAGAAATCTGGAAATTGCCAGTTTCTTTCTGCTTAGTAAAAACTTTTTCCTGGAGAAAAGCAAAGTGAGTGGAGATCCAAGATCTGACCTTGTGTGTGATAATATGTCTATACCAACTAGAAACTAGATAAATGATAGTAAAATCTCTTGTCTCTTTCTATCAAAAGATACTTAAATCCAGCTCAGGACAGCTGGCCCCTGCTCCATTCTAGGCTGCCATAGGCTGGATGAGGCTAGAGCATCAGCCATGTCTTCACTAGGGTGGGTGAAAAAACCCAGTGTGCTTTAACATCTTCCCTAAGGATGGATAGAAAAGTTTTTCCATGAAAGAGAGACTGAGACACAGTTTCCTTAGGGTTGAAACTGCTCAAATCCAGTCCTTTCTACTACAGGCACCACCAGAGGTGGGCTTCCTCCACTGACTGCTTGCTGGGGAGACTGGATGGAGAAACTCCCTTTCTCTCCCTAGGCAAGACAAAGTGAAGCCTTACATTTTGAGGGCCAGAGGGAGATGGGACAGCTGCGGATGGAGTGGGCTGTGTCCCAGAAAGCACCTCTGATAGCTCCTCCGATGGAAGATGAGGGGCTGAGTCCTCTCATGGATTATCCTGGAAGCAGCATCTCGTTCTGCAGCTCAGAACTGCCCAGCAATGGTAAAACATAACCCAGGTCTGGTATGGCTCCTGATCCAATAACACTCAGGCCCTGGGACAGACGGGACAACAGCAGGTCCATATGGGTTTGCCACAGGCTCAAACACCTCCATGAGGCTCAGACCATAATGCAACCATCTCAGCGAGAGCTCTTGTGGCAACGCTGCCGCCCAGGCAAGGGAGACTTTGTGCCTGCAGGGTTCATGCTGCTTCGGTTGGCAGACATTTATGTTAGCCAAAATGAAAGCAGCTTATTGCCAACAGATGAGCTGTATCGAACAGATGTAAACACAGCAGGAGAAGTGACGGAGGCTTTTCTACAAAGTCCTGAGAGGCGAGGAGTACAAGAGTTATGAGCGAGGTGATGAATTCGTGGATTATACCAAGAATGCACAAAGAGCTCTGGAGGTGATAGGAATTTCTGTCTGTTATTGCAGGAAGCTGCATCCAGAGCCTTTTTTAAAAAAAAAACACCCCAACCAAACCCACTTTTTCACAGTCACATCATAAACATGTATTGCCTGTCTCACTTTTGGGGCAGAAGAGCTGGCGTTGGTACAGTGTACTGGGGCAGGGGAGCTCTGGGGATGTTTTTGGGTCTGGTTCCTGGGCTATGCCCCTGCTTCCCTCCTTCTTCAGGGACACGCCAGGATGGAGAGGGAGGGCAAACCCCCTGCAGAGGCCAAGCTGTGCTCAGCACCAGCTCCAATGCCCACATCCTCACTCCTCTCCAGAGAGGAAAATGCTCCCTCAACCTCCCCAAAGGAGGAGAGTTGCCCCAATGCCCCCGAGCCCAACTCACATGGTGCGGAAACACTCCTCGGGAGCAAAGACATCGTCACTTGGACCAAAATCCTGAATCAAATTCTTTCCAGACTCTGCAGCCAACACATCAGCTCTCCCCACTAACACTCAGAGACACTCGCCAGCCTCTTGTTGCTGTTTTCTATAGCTTTTTCTAAGGGATGAATATTATCTCTTGCTGGGAAGATTTAGTTTTTGTTTAGCAGAGAAGGAACAGTCTGAGATCTCCTGCTAATGCTATTGCAGACCTCAGAGCACTGATTTCTCCTGTTCTGTTTCTCCAGTACACTGCAGCTGAGGAGACTTCTGGGCTTTTGTCCTAAGGGTCTTCAGGTTGTTTTAAGGTGGTAGGAGCTCTTTTGTGACTTGCAACATGGGGATCATAACAAGCAGAGCCTCAGCAGTCGCTTTGAGATTGAATGTCTATGCCCCAATCAGGAGTGAATATAAAGAACTGGTCTCATTGGTCACTCCAGCTCTGTGCTTCTCATGGGGGTACACAAATAAGGCACACACACGCCCCAAATACTACCTTAACTCGAGGTCCAGCATCCTCAAATACACTATGCATAGAAAGACTGTACATACAAATACTCTTTGCATACAAAGAAGGTTGCATAAACATTTGTGAGCCCTTCTCTTCTTCAATATCTACGCAGAATAAGGGTCAAATTTTTAACCATGCTCCTGTTATAGTTTTTAAGAATCTATCATCTCCTGCACAGGAGGACTAGGAGAAGGTCACAGCAATCCTCGGTGTGTCAGGTTAATGTTTTGTAACCACCAGACCAATGCTGCACGGCTTCGTTATTCAAAACCTGCTAACAGTCTATCTGATGTTTTGATCACTTGTTAATATTTAATTGTTAATTCACTGTTTAATTCTGACTCTGATTTCATGACTGCAGTATTCACCCCTCATTAGCTCATTACTACACCATGATGCAGATCTATTTTTGTTTGGTTGTTTATCCATTAGCAAGAAACCTCCCAGAAAGTAAACAGGACTTAGTTTTTCTTTCAAAATCACCACCAGTCCCTAAGGCTAAAGACATTGCAGATGACCTCAGATATGAAGGTATCTCGTTAGCACCTACCTACATCCCATTAGCAGCTCGTTGGACATGGCAAGGGACTGACTCTGCCTTCCTGATGGCCACTGATGTCTTACCGAGGCTCTTTGCTCAGATGCGACTTCCAGCTGAGGGCCAACATTTATTTCTTCAGTGTCAACAGTCTTTTAGCCTTCCCAAGACTTTCACTGACTTCCAAGGAGTATTTTTGTATGTTTGGGTATCTCGGTCTCGTTTTGTTTTCCGGGGTAAGGGCAGTCAGGGACATAGCTGAGACTCGAGGGCTCCTTCTTGCCCTCTCCGCTGCACATAGCTCAGTGCTGTCTGTCAGAGGTTACGGGAAACAGCAAACTCCTGCAGGTAAGCTCTTTGCTAAGTTGATTTCATGCCTTGCAGATAGGTATTGATTTCCCATTCTCATATATGCAAGTGAGAGGGAGAATAAAACAATGACGTCTGCAATGGCTGTCCTTTCCTGCATGCAATATTTTGTCCTCTCACTGACTCCATCAGCCTTGATCAGCACTCTTAATAACTCTGGTTCTAATTAGGACTCACTCTTACTGTGACCTTGTGAACCAGACGCTCTCCTACTGCAGCTGCATGACAATTTTCCAAAATACGGATTTCTGTCCTTTTCACACACATTACAATGTGATTTTTGTGTGAATTCAGTAATCTGAACAATCATTTTCAGTAGAGAAGAATGTCACTTCAGAATTCTGTTTTCTTTACATATCGTAACATTTGTGAGATATAATAAATGCAGATGTCTTCGAGTGTTGTGTTTCTCTCATCCCATGTCCAAGTTTCACCCAGAAACGTGCTGTGAGGGAAACCACTGCTCTCCTGGAAGGACACACAAAAAGCAGCAGCACAAACAGGACCACCCTTGAGAAAGTGGGGTGTGATTTTGGAGGCTGCCCAGACCTTTCCTTCAGCACATCTACTTGCAGTTCTTTTATAAACTGTCAAAGAGAGAAAAATAAAATCCCACCAAGAAAGCGAGGTTTTCTCTCTCGGCTGGGGCTGGATCCCACCGTTTTCTCTTCTGCAGCTGTTAAATATTGCGGACAAGCGATTAAAGACCGCAGTATTCCGACCAAACAGTGTTACAGGGAGCAGAGGACGATATTCTCCCAGTAGCTCTTGGGTCCCTGCTGTCAGATGCCTCTGAGCAAGAAAGGAAAGTGCCGGACTTGTGCCATCTACTGACCCGAGGAGAGCGAGCAGCCATCCCCGGCCTCATCATCTTCTTTTTAAGCCTTTAGCTCATGAGATCAAGAGTTTTCAGATGGCAATTGAAACGAAAAAAAAAATTAATGAGTGTTTTTACTATTTTCCCATCTTTCACATTAAACCTTTCTGGCAGCTCTCCCCAATTCCCTGTTATGACTCAGCTGCCTTTGGTTTTGCTCTGTTTTGCCCGAGAGCCAGTTTATGACTTTATTATTCAGCTCCTGATGTGCGGAGGTGAAAGTCCAGCCGTGCACCTCACCATGTTCGTCTTTTGCTTCCAGGTGGTCACCAAGCCATTAGCTCCTCTGCACTGCTCCTGTTTCCCTGTCTCAAGGCTTACTGACAAGTTCTCCCACAAATATACATGGCTTCTCGTGTTTTCTGGGTTTTTCCAGAGCAGTTTGCCATTTTGTCTCAAAGTCAGCTTTTTTTCATCCAGAGGGTCACAGCAGAACAAGTGCTTTTCCAAAGTGGATCCTATTCCTGAGGGGATGAACTATATAGGAATGGCTCGTCTTTCCTTATAACTCTGGAAACATTAGCCAAACTGCATTAACCAGACTCATTAAGGGCTGAGTGCTTACAAAAGCATGATACCAGGGAAAATGTCTGCTTTT